TGGTAGCTTGATAGAGATTGCATTGAATCTATAGATTGCTTTGGGTCATATACTCATTTTCACTATATTGATTCTTCCAAACCATGAGCACAATATTAAATATACCAGACTTTGTTTAACCAAGGTCTGCTCATGGATATTTGAGTTGTTCCCACTTTTTGACTGTTATGCACAGTTCTGTTATAAACATCCATGTACAAGTTTTTATGTGGATGTATTTTCAGTTCTAATGAATAGGAGTGGAATTGCTGGGTCATGTGGTAACTTTGGGCTTCCCAGGTGGTGCTAGTGGTAAAGAACTTGCCTGCCAACGCAGGAGACATAAGAGATAGGGGTTCAATCCTTGGGTCGGGAAGATTCCCTGGAGGAGGTCATGGCAACCCACTCCAGTATTCTTGCCTGGAGAATCCTCTGGACAGAGGATCCTGGTGGGCTACAGTCCATAGGGTAAGGAGTCAGACACCACTGAAGCGACTTCACACACACACACACACACACACACACGACTAACTTTATGTTTACCTTTTCAATCTTGGACTTCCCTGTGGCTCAGACGGTAAAGCGTCTGCCTATAAAGTGGGAAACCCGGGTTCAATCCCTGGGTAGGGAAGATCCCCTGGAGAAGGAAATGGCAACCCACTCCAGTATGCTTGCCTGGAAAATCGCATGGACCGAGGAGCCTGGTGGGATATAGTCCATGGGGTTGCAAAGAGTTAGACATAACTGAGGGACTTCACTTTCACTTTCAATTTCACTTTTCAAGCTACTGTTGCAGAGGATGGACAAATTGCCAGTGTTTTTTAGATATAATAAAGTGAATTTTAGTAGCATCACCAATAGAAAGTTGCAAAATGTCCATATTCAAACTTATCATTCAGGAACACAGGCATTATAAAAATGATGTATAAAATTGTTTTCTGTTGTGTAAAGCTATATAACATGCATATGCATCTTTGATTGGAAAACTTTTGTGATGACTGTTATCTCAAAGACTTAGCTGAAGTGTTAAACATTTTCCATATGGATCTATGTATTGATGTGAATATGATTCATCCATTTCAAATAATTATTTGTAATAATGACTACAAATGTGATAAAAATATCACAGGGATATCTGATGTCAATCTACATGATTTACTTTTTACTCCTTAGTTTCAACTGTAGAGATCAAATAATAATTTTATTATTTTTAAATTTAGGATTATCTGTGGTTTGTGTGGCCCTAGAAATTCAAGATCCAGAAAAACAAAACCAAAACAGACCTCTCAGCCAGTATTGTTGACTGGCCGTGTTTTTGTCTGTTCCTTCTCTAGGTGGGTTGAGTGTTGAGAACCTTCAGAATATGGCATTTCTCCTCTTATTGAAGTGGGATCTTACCAGCTTGCCCTATTTTGAGACCTGGACTTGGCTAGTTATCTTGTGTTCTCATAAAGAAATAAATGAATAAAAAAGTTTTTTTGTTTTTAAGTAATACATTCAGATTGTTCAAAACCAAAAGGTGCACAATGGTGAATAGTGGGATTTCCATTTCACCTTTGTCCACCAGTCACCCAAATCTTTTGGTAACTACTATTGTGCTAATTTTTGATATATTCTTCCAGATTGCACTTTGCGTATATATTTGGTTGTATTATTTTTTCTTGTCTCCCTCAAAATAAGGTACTGCATTTGTTTCTGTACCATACCTTTTTTTACTTACCAAAATATCTTCAACATTGGTTGTTTCATATTTGTGTATCAATAAGGTTCTCATTTTTTCCAAAAGCAGCTTTTATTTTTAACTACTTTTTTTTATCAAGACATACTATTGGTCTATATCTTTACCATTACAGATACTTCAGTGTGTATGTTTGTAATTTTGGTTGATTTTACCAAATTGACCTTCTTGCATTGTATTCATCTGTGCTGCTCCTTGTAACATGTGAGAATGACTCTTTAACTTGGCCAGTCCAGCTGATATGTGAGTGTGGTTTTATTTTGCCTTTTTCTTTTGAGTGAGGTTTAGCATCTTTTGATCTGTTTAAGTTGTTATATAGTTCTTCTATAAACTGGGATTTGCTCACTTGCCCCCTTCCGCCTTTTGTGTCTTTTTTGGGACATTTGTTGGAGTTCTGTTACGAATGTAAGACTTTTAATGGGTTCTGAGTTAAACAAAAACTGATGTTGGAGTAGAAATTGCTTCATTTCTAATTGAATTAAAAATATTCCAGTAACCATTGAAAGTTGGAGGCCAGAGTTGTACATTGGCTAGCCTGTCTACTTGAGTTCCTTTCCCAGTGCTGCAGAACTTTGGGGCCAGCATTTTTAGAGGAGTTTAGTGAGATGACATGGTTTGCTACATAAATAAATTTCTATCATCTCTGAGAGATGATCGATTGCTCAAGAAACAGCATATTTATTCATCTTACACATGTAATTTTTTTCAGACAAGCTTGAGAAGCAAGCAAATCTCTCACGTACTTTAAAAATGCCTATTACATCAAAACTTATTCGTTATAATATGTAGATGTTCTAATTTGTTATTCATGAAAAAATTGCATCTGATGACAGTGAGTCAGAGAAAGTTTTATAACTCATACTGCTTGGATGTGTTTTCATTTGAATTGAAGCTTTGAATTTTCCGAAGCCTGAGTTTTCACACAGCTGTTTGTGGGTCTAGTGGGCCCAAGCTCATTTCATGACTTGGTCAGACATCAGGCCTATATAGACTGGGAGATAAACTGCTAATCATTTAAACTGACTTTGTCAACTGACACAGAAATAAATAGTAACCTATCTCAGAGAAATAACCAAAGTCAAATAAAAGTAATTGAGGCAGACCCTTGTGAAGCAGTTGGAAGAAAATCCATCCTCAGAAAGATACTTATCACTACAAAACAGAAGCAGGCATTTTAACTTACTGTTATTTAATAAACCTCAGTGCTCTTTTATAATCAAAATTTATGATTATATGTAAACATTTTAATACAACAGCAAATGTATATATGTATATGATTTTAAATTGTTTGTCCTTTAAATTAGGTGATACATAATAATAATTAAATGGATTCTTTTTAACCAGGAATTGAAGTTAAAATATGATACTGGGCTTCTCAGGTGGCATTAGTGGTATGGAACTCGCCTGCAAATACAGGAGACATAAGAGACGTGGGTTCAGTCCCTGGGTCGGGAAGATCCCCTGGAGGAGGGCATGGCAACCCATTCCAGTATGCTTGCCTGGAGAATCCCATGGACAGAGGAGCCTGGCGGGCTCCAGTCCATGGAGTTGCAGAGTCACACATGACTGAAGCGACTTATCATGCATGCATGCACACACAGAGTACCATATTGCAGTGCTTCCAGGCCATTTCTTATGTGAAGAATCAAGTTAAAATTTTTTCAATCCATTGTTGACCATTGCTTTCATAAAATGCAAAAATAAAACAGAATACCACAAAAACCTCAAAACAAAACTATGAAAGAAAGATAAAAGTAAAAGCTCCTATTTTTATCTGATGTAGCAGATAAAATTATTTCAAAAATATAATTATACCCTGGAAGATGTAAGTTTTAGAGTGAATTAATGTGCCTTTTGTACTTTGAGTCTTTTCTTTGTGAATCTCCAGTTTTTATAGATGGTTTTAATTCTGTTCTATTAAATAGATTATAAAAAGATATGATTATAAACAAAACTTAAGGAAATAGAAAAGAATTAGAAAAACTGTCATTGTTTATTGAAAACATGGATGTAAGACAGTTCGTATATGAATAGAAAATAATCTCTTGCAGACTGATAACCAGCACTAGTCTGTAGACCACACTTTGCGTGACCCTGTTCTTTTGAACTAGTTGGCTGTCACTCTTTAAAGCCCCGTGTCCCTTCCCATTTCTCAATTTAGGATAAGGTACAGATTTTTACCTTATAGTGTGAATCTAGGTGTTTGAGTAGTTTCAATCACATGACTTTGGGATTTTTTTTTTTTCTTCAAATCTCTGTTGATTTTTTAAACGATCCATTTTTCCCCAGTCTGAAATGTGTTTTATCATCATTATTAAGTCAAGATTGCCAGTAGCTTGTGAGCTTGTGAGAAAAATTAGAAGCTTTGTGGTATATGTTGCTTGTAATTCATTTTATTATCTTTTGAGAACCTCAGAAATAATGCTTTTGTGAAAATGAACAAATATTTGCACAAGTATTATTTTAATTTCATGCTTTAGTCTTATAAATTTGTTAGCATTTGTTTTACATTGAGCTCTGAAGCATTAAACTGTTTTTCATAAAAAGTTCTCCATAGGCAGAGGTAAATCTGTATGTTGGTTAATTTTTTTTTTTTTTTTTTCAGTTGGATGCATGAGACAAGTGCTCAGGGCTGGTGCACTGGGAAGACCCAGAGGGATGGGTTGGGGAGAGAGGTGGGAGGTTGGTTCATTTTTTTAAGCAAACAGCAATCTTGAGCTCTTATATGTTTTCACCACACACAAAAGACTGTACTTAGGTGAGGTGATGGATGTGTTAACTAACCTAGTGGCAGTCATTTTGCAGTATATATGTGTGTCAAATCCTCAGGTTGTACTGCTTGAACTTATCCACTGGTGTATGTCAATTATATCTCAATAAAGCTGGAGGAAAAAATAAGCAGCAATCTAGGCTTTAAATCAAGGCTCAGTGATGTTGCCAGTGCTGCCTGTGGTTCTCGAATGTCCCAGAGGTTATTAGCGTTTGGTTTGGAGGGAGTAGAAAGTGATATTTAAGATGAGGTTTTCTTCAGTGTAGATAAAATGACAGATAAAATATCTTTTGGACTCAACATGAAGTCTTTTTACAACAGTTCTTTGTTTATACGACTTCAAGACCTGTCAGTGTATAAAGGGATTTAAATTCTAACCTTCTTATACTCTTTGTATTACCCAGTTAAATAACTTAAAATTAGGGGTTTTTCTTGAAAGTTATCTGAGCACAAATTTGTATACGTGTGTTTAGTGGAAAGAAATGCATACCATCTTTGCCTGTTTTCCTTTAGGGTAATTCCTCTTCTGCAGTCACTTTTGGATGGAAGTATGCACTTTTCCCAATAGAAGATGGTAATCTTGGAGAATGACCATGGAGAAGGGGATGAGTTCTGGAGAAGGGCTGCCTTCCAGATCATCTCAAGTTCCGGCTGTTAAAACAACAGCGAAAGAGTTGGAAACGAAGCAGTCCCATAAAGAGAAACGAGGGGGCTTTGTGTTGGTGCATGCAGGTAAGTTCTGAGTAGCTGAGCTGGAAGACAAAAATAATGGGCTTCCTTGCCTTTGCCTTGGAGTACACCAGAAGCTGTTTCCTGTCTGGGCGAGGGACACTGCAGGAGGAGTTGGAACCGCAGGTTGACTTGCATAGTGTGAAGGCCTCCCCCGCCAGCTCCCACGTGGAGGGTCTTGCAGTGATGGCACTTCCTTTGGCTCCTTCACTCACCTTCTCTAGTACTTTTACTCCATCTGCATGTGCCTGTTAAAAAGTCATGTCTCACTCTTCGAGATTCTATGGACTTGTAGCCCTCCAGGGATACTGTCCTTGGGGATTCTGCAGCCAAGCATAACTGGAGTGGGTTGCCGTGCCATCAGCCAGGCGATCTTCGTGACCCACAGATTGAACCTGCATCTTTTCGTTTAGCTGCATTGGTGAATAGATTCTTTTACCACTAGTGCCAGCTAGGAAGCCCTTTACTCCATATAGTAGATATATTTAGGTATTGTTAAAACCAGACAAAGTAATTGTTTAAACTCTTACTTGTGTTTTTAAAAATAAATTTGTTGAAAAAAACTTTACTCACCCTGTATTTGACTATGTCCATCTTAGAGTGTAATTTATACAATCTTAAAGGTAGTTTTTGCCTTCTTAATATTATAAATGAGGAACCTAAAAACCAGAGCGATTAAGTGGCTTCAGGCACACAGCTAATCAGTAGCTCCAGGCCGAGAAACCATTAAGTGGGCCCACAAGTCCCATTCTAGTGATTTTGGCACTCCGTCAGCCTCTTATTTCTGCTTCAGAGGACCTGGAAGACAGACACAGTGAAGTTCAACCCCTGAGTCCCCATCATTGATACATTGAGGGTTTCCAAGCAGTGCAGCTCTGCCCCTGTCTTTTCTTTTTTTCTCTCCCTTTTTCTTTGATGTGGGTTGAGTGGCATTGTTTCTTTTTGTCAGACTGGCGTTCTGCCTGATCATTAACCTTTGGCTATAGCTAAACTGAACAGACAAGTTGGGAAGTCTTACAGAATCAAACCCAGAAAAGTCAAACAGTGAACAAAAGGTTCAATTTTCTTTTCTTTCAAGTGACTTTTCAAAGAAATGAGGTAAATTTATATAAACAATTGAAATTCCCAAGCCAGTGTTCCTTCTCCTACACCATGCTGGTGGTGCATCGTTTATAGGACCCAGTGTTATTTTATTCATAGTGAGTGTTTGAAAAATGTGCAGGAAAGCCCTGAGATGTGTAACAATAATGCCATCGAGCGTTTGATGAGCTGGGAAGGGTTGCCTTCTGTGGCGGTCACTGCAGACTCCCTCCTGTCTCAGGCACACACCTCGTGGCAGTGAGTCATAGCTGGTGCTGGTACCAGCTGTAATAGGAGGAAGTCTGTGTAATAGGAGGAACTTGTGTGGGCCAAGGATGACTTTCCCCTTCTAAATTTTTAGAAGGTCAGATAGAATGATTGATTATGCAGCATTATATACCTTGCACATTTAAGGGACAAAATTTCAATTCCAGTGCAGAGGTTTTGAAACTATTGCTTTTTTTTTTTTTGGTATTAAAGGAGACTTGCCCAAATTTTAGTCACTTGAATAGTAGATTCTTGTTTTTCCCTAGATCTGTATATTACCTATACTTTTCATGCTTCTGCTCATCACTCAGTCTTGTCTCTGTGACCCTATGGACTGTAGCCCACCAGGCTCCTCTGTCCATGGAGTTTTCCAGGCAAGAATACTGGAGTGGGTTGCCATTTCCTCCTCCAGTGGATCTTCCCAACCCAGGGATTGAACCCATGTCTCTTGTGTCTCCCGCATTGGCAGGCAGATTCTTTACCACTGAACCATCAGGGAAGTTTACTAGTGCTGTTATCCACACAGTAAAGTTATCTATTTGGCTGCAGTATCCCACGTGGGAAATACTGCTGCAAGGTTGGGGTCTGAGATCTAAGATGGCATTTATTAGAGAACATTGAAGAGAGTCCTCGTAAACATTGGCACAGGTTCTGTGAAGTTTGAGTGCTTTTGAGAAATGGGACTAGAATTTGTGTGTATTATGGATTCCTGTTGTTTGGACTTCTTTTCTGCTTCCTTGAGTCCATTAACCATAGCTTCTTGGGCCCATTCTTTGTCTGCGTTGAGGAAAGATGGGTTAAGTTTGTGTTGTAGTCTGCAGCTTCACAGAAGAAGGCCTGCCTGAGGATTAGAGATGTAGTTCTTTAACCTTCCCTGTGTTGGACCCCTCTGGGGCCCAGCAGGGGCCTGGGAGTGGGTTCTGAGGGGGAGGTTCAGAGCAAGTTAAGGAACTTTGATGAAAGGCCTTTTCTTGGTTTCTTTCTAGTTTTTCTCAGATCCCTAACTAAGCAACGATTAATCCTTTTAGGGAAATAAATTTCAGAGCCTTTCTCTTGAAGTTGCTGAGTGTTTGATTAGGATAGGCAGTGGTGAATATACCATCCCTGATGTTTCAGACACCCTGAGCTACATTCCAGGGGTGAAAGAATGGAGAAGTTAGGGTAGGAAAGGTGATATTGGTGGTGGTTGTGGATAGGATGGAACATCTGTCCGTTTCAAGTTTTAAATAAAACTACCTAGTTTTCTGAAGTTACTCTTAAGTAACTTTCCAAAGTTCAACAGGGAGGAAATTAAAGGCACTCTGCCCTTGACACTGCCTAGGTTATCAGCTCCCTCTAAAAAACACTCCTGACTTTGGGGAAGATTTCAAAAGGAGGAGAGTTCAGCTTGGCGAAGCCTCTTTGGGAACATAAGCTATTTCTGGTGCCTCTGGTAGGAAAATAGCTTTTGAAAAAGGAGATAAGGCATGGTATTGAAAATGCTTATAGTGCAGAAAGATTTTCAAGATTAGATTTTTAAGAGTCCATACACTTAGGACAGTAGTTTTTTTGTCACTCAGAAAGCATCAGTTTGCATGAACTACTTTTATAATGTTAGCAAGGTCTCTGATATCTTAATGATAGTTAACCATTGATTTTTTTTTTTTAATTACAGGTGCAGGTTATCATTCTGAATCCAAAGCCAAGGAATATAAGCATGTATGCAAAAGAGCTTGTCAAAAGGTATGGAGAGAATATATTCTGTCTGATTGAAGCATTTTAGTTTTGACCATAAAGCAGCTTTACCTTGAAATTCAAAATTTTAAGGTTTGATTTATAAGACAGACTTTGGCTTGGACCACAAAATAATTTTGTTCATATTTGTGGAGTCTTTTGTTTTGTTTTGTATTTTTTATTCTCCAAATCATGTTTAGATCTTTTCTTTCCTTTCCCAGATCAAAGTCCGTATTTTTGGAATTGTGGGCACATAATCATATACCTTTTAATCTTTGCAGCGGTGTTGAGCTCTATAGGAGGAATAGGGAAAACAGCTCAAAGGCAGCCAATGTGGCTTTCTATGAAGGGAAGAAAAAAATAATAAAAAAATTAAAATGAGTGTTTTTCTTAGGGAGATTATCCTATGCTTTTTCTTCTGTTTCTCATCACATAGTTTGTATCATAGCAAATTCATTGTCATTATGAAGTTTAGCTTTGCCTTTGTACTCAGCTGTGCTTTTTTTTCATCTTTGGTTTTTGAGGTTTTGCTAAATTGTTGAATGCTTAATGTGGAGGCAGGAGTGGACTCGGAAGAAATACTGTTTGTTTTTATTTTGATCCTGACTATATACTCTTGTAGGCAAACCTTCCATTACCTTTTATGCAAATAGAATGTTAATTGGACACTACGTATCAAGTAAATAGGGGTCTTTCTCGCTCTTTTCATTTATATTTATTTGCCATTTAAAAAAGATTATACTTAATTAGAGATCCAAGATTTTTCTTATGAATGAAATCTCATAAATGAATGGGAATATTTTGTTACAGTGATTGCATTGTCTTTTTAAAAAATTATAATAAAGGTAAATATTGTTTAAGCTGTTTTATATTTTTAATCTTATTTTTCAAAGTGTGAAATCTTTTTGTTATCTGAAAAGAAATGGCTTACCTTTATAGAAATATAGTTCTGTATATAATGCATTTAGACTGTGTAACCAGACTCCTCAATGTATAGAATAAATGAACTTCTCAAAAGTTTCCTGAGGAATACAGTTCTTAGTTTTTGATCTTTGTTGACTAAGTTGGAGCTTCAATAATTCATTTAAAAATCAGTCTTCCTTCTCTTTCTTTCCTGTCTTATTTATACCTAAGAAGCAAGGTGATTTTGTGACCTTTACTCTCTATAGATTATATTACAAAATAATATTATATGTTTAATTTCAATGTAAAATACCTTATAGAATCACAAATGCTGTTGTCAAAAGTACGCTTTCATCTAAGAGTTCTGAAATGCCTCTGTGACTGAGTCACTGTTTTTATAGCTGGAGTAGAGAGAGTAGCAGGGACTTCCTGGTGGCTCAGACAGTGAAGACTCTGTCCGCAGTGTGGAAGTGCTGGGTTTGATCCCTGGGTCAGGATGCTCCCCTGGAGAAGGGAATGACTACCCACTCCAGTATTCTTGCCTGGATAATTCCATGGATAGAGGAGCCTGGGGGGCTATAGTCGATGGGGTTGCAAACGGTTGGCCACAACTGAGCACCTAACACACACAGGGAGAGTAATAATGGTGGAATAAGAAATTATTAGCTTAGTCTATATAAAATGTGAATTCAAATTTCAAAATGGAATTCATATAATTTCTCAGGCTATGGGAATTGCCCTGTGATGAATGAAGCCCTTTCACTTACTAAATTCCTTGCACTTTGTGTTTAGTGGCTAAATTTTATTCATTGTCTCAAATTGAATAATAATAAATGAGGTATATCATAAGTTATCCTGAATAATTGCTAACTTTAAATCTAAGTAGTTTATTTCTTGAAGTATGGAGTGGAACTCTAGTGATCAATTTTTGTTAACTCTAAATGTCTCCTACACTTCTTTAAGCCTTTGAAAAGTTTCTGGGTGTGTTTGAGAAGCTGTGGTTTTACAGTGAATAATCTTGCCCCTTGGTTTTATAGGCAATTGAAAAGCTACAGGCTGGTGCTCTTGCGACAGATGCAGTGACTGCAGCCCTGGTGGAGCTTGAGGTATTTCTTTTCTCTATTTATTTCATTTAAAGTAGTTGTGAGTTTATGTCCGTTACTCTTAAATGATGAAACTGTTGTTTAGTCAGCCATCAGTGACATGACCAGTGTTTCCCAACAGTACTAACAATGAAGAATGAAGCAGCAGCCTGTGATCTTGTTAGGTTGTCTTATTGGAGACTTCTCTGAGTAATATAAAGAAGTTGGTTAAATTTCATTTTTTCCCCTGGTTTTGTGAGATTCATGAATACAAGTTATTGGTGGCTTGATGCTTGAATTTCCTTAATATTTTCAGAAGAAAAATTCCTAAAGTTAACACCTTCTCAAAGTAATATATATTCTGTTGTTTAGAAAACAAAAAATTCCAACTGTCTGGAAGTATCCCAAGTTTAAGAAGTTTCCTCACAAATGTATCAGTTGGATATATATACTGAAGCTGTGTTCTGTTAGGTGCGTCTTGTCCGGTGTGATTGTTAGGTTGATCTCCAGTTAACTGTGGGTGTTGAGGAATTCAGTGTGGAGGTTCTCAAGTTCGCTGTATTCCTTGCTACTTCAGTATGAGGGTCTCTCAATTCTCTTAATCTAGACCCTGAGGATAAGTTTGTCCAGGAGATATTGAGGGCTTCAGAAGCCTGACTTCTGTTTCTCAAATTTTTAGAGGGTAGATTAGTGTAAGTCAGTTTAGAGGACAGTGAGTGAATAGTTTTTTGCTTGACAAGATTACTAGGGGACTCAAATAAGACTTAAAGATAAGAGTTTGAGGGAGGAGGTGATAGAGAAGACTGTCCCCAGTTGGTTGGATTAGGCTCCTACTAGCAGGGCTCCTACTCTGTCATGCCAGGCCTTGCTTTTTCCTGTGAAGATTGCCCAGAGTTGAGCGGAAGTGCTAGCCTTGTCCCTGAGCCATCGCAGAGCTGCGCTTTGGATCACGCTCTGTGGATTGTAGCTCTCTTGTTAACACTTTGAGCTTGGTAGGGTCCGTGGTCGAGGAAGGTGAACGTAGATGGTGGGCGTGTAGCTTGGTGCCTGAGGATCTGACTGGGCACATGTGGCCCCTTTCTCTTGAGGCCGATTGGTCTTACGCTAGCTCTGTGCCACTCGGGAGCCATAAAGCCCTGGGCACCTCTCGGCCTCTCCTTGGCTCAGTTTACACGTTTATGATGTGAGGATGGTAATTTCTGCTTTACAGAGTTGTGAAGGTTAACTGACAACGTATGATAACCACTTAGAACAGTATGAGGCACGTGGGAAGCTACTCATGACTGTTATCAGTTACGACTATTGTGAGGTGCTTTGGAAATGATATATGTGAAGTGAATGTTTGTGGTAACTCTTTACATTGTCAAAGGAAGGTTAATTATATGTTGTGGATAAAAGGGGAAAAGTGATGCCAGGAAGAAAGTTGGTGTGGTTACCACCAAATCTTACCTTTACTCAAAGCACATACACAAAGTAAGCTTCATCTAACTTAATTTAGTCATTAATTGGAAATGACTGCTTTGTGTAGAAGGCAATACCCTGAGGTTGCAGGTGCATGGAGCCAGCGTGGGCCTGGGGAGAGATTAATAAACAGCTGGGTATATACCTTAAGGGCAACTATGAATACAAAATTGAGTAAAATTAAGTTTTCCTTTTTCTTTTCATCTTAGAATAACTTTAATTTTCTCAAGTCCTACTTATTCATTCTGAATATTTTGCTATATTTTTTCCCCATGATGAATCAATCCTACTGTAAAAGAATTTACTTATGTATACTTAAAAATGATTTAAAATAAATTTTGGAAGGAGTTACATGTGAGTGAGCTTTATAGTTTTGGATGATGACCTGTGGTTTTTAAGAGTGTGGATATGAAGGTTTTTAAAAAACAAGTGTGTTCTGTTATTTTGATTGGACTGTGGCCTGAGTGAGTTTATTAAGTTTGGGGAAGAATTTCAATGAGTTATCTTTAAAAATTCATTTTTATGTGGAATATTTGAATGAAATATATGTTAGTAGTTTAAAGGTTAAGCCTCCACTAACTGGAAGAACTTTCCTCAATCTGAAGAATTACGTTGGAAGTCATGCATGTACGGCCACGGCAGTTGCCGTCACCTTGCATAATTGTGATTCGTCATCTTTGAACAGGGAGGTCTTCAAATAAAGAGTTTAACTGAAGACATATTCTAACAG